TGAAATTGGTGATTTGAGATTATATAAAAGTCTGCATATTACATACAGTCTTTAAACGACAAATTTAAAAGGAGGCAACATATCTGAAGGGTGACTATCCTATAGAAAAAGACAAAATCGAAGACACTAAAGCCATCGGCGTAAAAATATGTCCCTATTTGGATCGAATTTATAAGATATCTGATTTGATTGAATGGATGGGGCAAGTTTTACGGTCTCCACACTTCACAAACAACGTGGTGTACCAATTAAATAAAAAAATGAAATCCCTAAAGAACGGCCAAAAACGTCAAAAATCATCGTGCTGATCTTTTTAAGAATACTTAAGTTTTCTAATACGTGTTTACATAATAATTATATAGATCTAACTAACTTTTGCTAACACAGATTTATTTATATAATAACATTTATTTTTTAATTTTTATTTATTTTTTTTATTTTTCTACAGGAAGCGGTATTGGGCGACTTATGGCAATTCGTTTCGCCAAATTGAAATGTCCCCTGGTGTTATGGGATGTGAACGAGAAAGGGAATGAGGAAACATTAGCAATGTGTAAAGAGTATGGTGTCACCGTTAAAACATACAAAATAGATCTTTGTGACAGAGATGATGTTTATAGTGTTGCTAATAAGGTAAATTTGGTATAATGTAGTAACAGTCTTTGTTCAGCCACCGTTATTAAGATCTTAATTTAAAGTTATATATGAATTTAATGATAAATAAATTTAGTGACAAGGTAGAATTTGCAAGATAAGAGACTGTGAACTATTCATGATTAATCATGTACTAATTGACTGTTCAACATGTTTTTCATTTAGCTTACGCTTTCCTCTTTTGGTATATATGAATGTCAAATATGAAGGCTCCATGTTTGACTGTTCTTGAAGCCCTTTGGACAATACATGTTGGCAGTTTTAATTTTAACTTTCGTCCTCCGTCTTGCTTTGTCGGACCCTTGTAAAGATCGTAATTTCGAGCTGTTTATGCTTAGGTCACGACAATGCTCCCTCTTATGCCACCAGGACTGGGAAGGATCCGAAACCTTTGACAACAAGGGCAAATTGCTGTCGGATGTATTATTATTAATTGTATTGAAAATACAAAACCATACTCGATTATAATTAAGTCAATATTTACAGTCAAAAAAGAGATTTAAATTTTCAACACAGTTGAAAAAAAATGCTATGGAAAGATTACTAAACACTGTTTTAAAGTAGCTAGTTTGTAGGTCAACAATTTACATGTATAAACATTTATTTTCTCCTAGGTCAAACAGGAAGTTGGTCAAATTGACATTTTAGTAAACAATGCTGGTATAGTAACAGGGAAGAAAATTCTGAATTGTCCTGATCACATGATGACAAAAACAATGGAAGTTAACTGTATGGCGCATTTCTGGGTAAGTTACTAGTATCTTAAAATACCAATCTGACTAAAGTTCAGATCTATTTATTTATTTTATGTAGATCTGATGACCACCGTATATGTTACGCCTTCTTAATAATTTGGATTTCCCGAGAAAGTTTTTTTAGCCATGCAATCTAACCAGTTTTTACATAGGCATTAGAAAAAGTATCGAAATGCTGTTAAACGTGGAAGTTCAACAAATTGTTGATTTGTATTTAAAAACAATGTTTGAAGTAATTTTTAACAATTTAACATGAAATGATAGAGTCAATTTTTAATAGGCAAGATTGTTTTGCCAGTTTACCCGCCGGCTATATGGACAACGCCATGTCGGTTCTCGAAATCGTATAAATTACCTACTAAGTATTGGTTTTCCCAGGGTCACACCGTATTACCGGCGGCAGTGATGGCAGATCACTGCAGTGATGGCAGATATCTGAAAATTACCGATCGGTACAGGTAGGTTATAAATTTGGTTGGTTTAATTATATTACACAAATACGGCCCATATCATTGCTATAAAACTATTGTCCATTGAATGGAGATACTGTAAGGTAATTTTGGACTCGTTTTTTTCCTGTTTTCAGACTATTTTGAGCAGGTTAAAAGTGAAAGCATTGGAAAAAATCCGTGAAAATGTCTGTTTTCTGTTCAAAATATCTCAAGTTTTAAGTAAATGGCAGGATTTCCTGTTATCAATATAGACGTTCATCCATTGGGGTCACGCAAGCCAAATATCTACCCCGTGAGTCTTTTCTTGAAAGTTTTACAGACGCTCAATCTTGTCCGGTCGAAGAAAAAATGCTGCCGTTGTAGGCAGATACATATTATAAATGCTGCCGTCGATGGCAGAAATACCATGAAAGTGGCTAACATTCTGACAGAAAATCAAGTTCAATCTTTTATCAATTCCTCTTTTCTTTGCGTCCTTTTAGTCGGAATTGAGACGTTAAACTATCATTTCTAATATTTTCTCAAGATAGAAAAGTTATTAATGCGGTGTATGCATCGAAAAAAGCTTTTTAGCAACATGCAGTTACAATACAAAAAGTGACGACAAAATTTCACTATAAATAGAGAAATGAACATGAAAAACTTCATTTTTCTATATTCATGCATGTGCACTTGATCTGTTCATATGAATTGAAAGGTCAAAAAAGAGAAAAAGAATATAACAAATCAAAAAATTCTAGTTTTTTTCCTATAAATACAGGATTTATTTTCATCTTGTGATATGAATCATCGAAAGGTTCATCTTTATAAGTTGTCATGGTTACAACTAAAATGAATGAAAAAATATATAGTTAAATGGGAGCGCGTGATGTTAGAACTGTTGTTTATAGTTTAGCATAGAAAATGTAAATCAAAGGCAAACTACAACGCTATTACACACATGAAAATTTTAAGAAATGAACGTTGTCGTGTTTTTCAAGAACTTGATAATATAGGAAAATATTTGAACTGTCAATAATATTATTTTTCCATTTTACATTAACATACATTGTTTTATGATACACTGATGCCAGTTGCGAGGTTAATAGTCTCCCCTTTATTACATCAATTTAATAATTTATAATCTGCGCCGATTAAGTAAATTTCAGCCTTTATTTGTCATAAAGCGATGAACATTATTACCTCGAGAAAATAATGTCATATGCTAGCAAATGAATATCCACTTACAGAAGTTACTTGCTGTAATATGCAATTGGCGTTATGTCTTAAAAAGGGAGTGCGCTGCTAAACTTAAGACACATATAGTATTGTATGCATGTAACTGACAGACACAACAGATCAAGCACACATGCATGAATATAGAAAAATGAAGTTTTTCATGTTCATTTCTCTATTTATAGTGAAATTTTGTGGTACTAAATCATAACTTTTTGTATTGTAACTGCATGTTGCTAATAAGCTTTTTTTCGATGCACATACCGCATTAATGAAAAAAATCAAAAAATCTACAAAACAGCAATTTTTCTTCAAAATTATATGTGAGGCCATGTTTTAACATGGAAAAACGCGTTTTTGGGTAATTTCGTTTTTCTTTATCAGTTTCTGTTAACCCATTACCAGATATATACGCCTTTCTACGCCTTTTTCACCCCCCCTCCTTTTTTGCTTTTGCTTTCAAAGAAAACTTTGGACTTGTGGGAGGCTAAAAATGGCCCCAGGTCGATCATAAGGTAACGTGTAACCAATGCTGAAAAGCCTTTGACTCTATCTCAATCCATTGAGAAGTGGCAGCACTTTGAAATCAATTTTGATGGAAAAAATCAACGCAAAATAGTGATTTTTGGCAATTTTGAGATGTCCCCTAGTTGCTATGGTAACAGGAAATTTCAGACTGAACATGTTGTTACAAAGGCAATGGTCCAGTCAACATTTGTGCCAAGTTTGATTAGTATTGAAGCAGTTTTTATAGTTTTATAGCAACTTGAACTTGTAACGGGAGACCTTTCAATGAAAACAGCCATTTTTCACAAGATGCTCATGGGGTAATGGGTTAATAACTTTTCTATCTTGAGAAAATATTAGAAATGATAGTTTAACGTCTCAATTCCGACTAAAAGGACGCAAAGAAAAGAGGAATTGATAAAAGATTGAACTTGATTTTCTGTCAGAATGTTAGCCACTTTCATGGTATTTCTGCCATCGACGGCAGCATTTATAATATGTATCTGCCTACAACGGCAGCATTTTTTCTTCGACCGGACAAGATTAAGCGTCTGTAAAACTTTCAAGAAAAGACTCACGGGGTAGATATTTGGCTTGCGTGACCCCAATGGATGAACGTCTATATTGATAACAGGAAATCCTGCCATTTACTTAAAACTTGAGATATTTTGAACAGAAAACAGACATTTTCAAGGATTTTTCTAAGGCTTTCACTTTTAACCTGCTCAAAATAGTCTGAAAACAGGAAAAAACGAGTCCAAAATTACCTTACAGTATCTCCATTCAATGGACAATAGTTTAATAGCAATGAAATGGGCCGTATTTGTGTAATATAATAAAACCAATCAAATTTATAACCTACCTGTACCGATCGGTAATTTCCAGATATCTGCCATCACTACAGTGATCTGCCATCACTGCCGCCGGTAATACGGTGTGAGGGTTAGAATTAGAAACCACGTCGCTTTCAAAATTATGATAGCTCGCCGATGATTGGCTGTGTGAAAGGTCACCAGAAATGAGTTTGAATTTGGTCACGGTCAGATCTAAAAGCGGAGCATTATGTAGAGCTAGTTATCAGATTGCTTAAAATACGCAAAATTTCTTTGATCTATCTTATGCAAATAATATATAACAAAACTAGATTTTACACAACATTGGATGTCACGTGTGCGAATCTGAATTGCGTGTAGAAATAAAGCTAATTAAATTCACTGTTTATTTCATTTTATTTTTTTAGATATTTTTGAAGGCCCATTACGTCCCAGAAAAGCTTTTATTTTTATTACTCAAAGCTTTTTATTTTGATGTCTTGTTGTTGATTCCAGAAAAATGACTTATTGGCAAATTACCTGAATCATCTTTTGCTTCTGTTGCTTTTTTGCAATTAGTGCAATTATATTGATTTAGTATTTTGTATGGAATAAAAATACTGCTTTTTCTACATTTTGCTACTTTTACGACACGTTATGTATGTTTAGTACGGTGGCATAAAGGTGACATGTGTGTGTTTTTATTTATCGCGTGGCCACGAGATACTATGTCGTGGCCACGAGTTACTAAGTCGTGGCCACGAGATAGCTAACTCGTGGCCACGAGATACTATGTCGTGGCCACGTGTTACTAAGTCGTGGCCACGAGATAGCTAACTCGTGGCCACGAGATACTATGTCGTGGCCACGAGTTACTATGTCGTGGCCACGAGATAGCTAAGTCGTGGCCACGAGATACTATGTCGTGGCCACGAGTTACTAAGTCGCGGCCACGAGATAGCTAAGTCGTGGCCACGAGATACTATGTCGTGGCCACGAGTTACTAATTCGTGGGAACGAGATAAGTAAGTCGTGGCCACGAGTTATTAAGTCGTGGCCACGAGTAAGTAAGTCGTGGGGACGAGATAGCTAAGTCGTGGCCACGAGATAAGTAAACCAATCAGAATACACTATATATATTATGATTTTTTTTAAACTTAACAACTTACTTTTACATGCAACATTAATCTTTGAAAATACTGAAGATATTCACTTTGAACTTGTCTTTAGTATCATTTTAGAAAGTCACATTCAAAGACCCATCAGACATTAATTTTGACTACAGCTCTTTGTTGGGACAATTTTGTGATCGAATTGGGCAGATTGTACGTACTACGGCCTGTAAACCTTGTTTATACGATAACAAGAGAAGGAATAAGTCCTTGTTTATTTTATTTGTAAGGGACATTGCCGATGGACAGTAGATAGCCTATAAGGTAAAATCCTCGTCTGATGAATAATTTAGAAGGGATAAGCCATGGTTTATATAACCCAGAGATCATTGCACCTGATCAGTGGATGACATCTAATACTTTCGAGGTAATTGGGTCAAAGATCAGGGTCACAGTGACGCTAAATGTAAAATTATTGACTAGTCAATAAGTTGTATAAATAGCACTTTTACTGACTGGTGAAGTAGGGGTATCCTTGTACTACAGCACATGTCTATTTAATTAGGGAAATTCACATAAATGGTGTAATCTGATTGGTTATTTATCTCGTGGCCACGACTTAGCTAACTCGTGGCCTTGACATAGTATCTCGTGGCCACGAGTTAGCTATCTCGTGGCCACGACTTACTAACTCGTGGCCACGACATAGTATCTCGTGGCCACGAGTTAGCTATCTCGTGGCCACGACTAAGTAACTCGTGGCCACGAGTTAGCTATCTCGTGGCCACGACTTAGTAACTCGTGGCCACGACATAGTATCTCGTGGCCACGACTTAGCTATCTCGTGGCCACGACTTAGTATCTCGTGGCCACGACATAGTATCTCGTGGCCACGAGTTAGCTATCTCGTGGCCACGACTTAGTAACTCGTGGCCACGACATAGTATCTCGTGGCCACGAGTTAGCTATCTCGTGGCCACGACTTAGTAACTCGTGGCCACGACATAGTATCTCGTGGCCACGAGATAAATAAAAACACACACATGTCACATTTGTGCCACCGTAGTATAGTGATACTTTTTCCAGATGATAAACTTCTGACATACACTTGAACTGTCATTTAAACATTGTAAAACGCATATTTACCTTTTCTTCGTTTCTGAGGCATAATATTCATTTAAATGTTACCATTTTCAGACTGTCAAATCATTTCTACCGGACATGATGAAGAGAAACCATGGTCATATTGTTACTGTCGCCAGCTCGGCGGGGTTTATAGGAGTTTCTGGCCTTGCAGACTACTGTGCCAGTAAGTTTGCCGCTGTGGGTTTTGAGGAGTCGTTGAGATTCGAACTTGATTCGCAGGGAAAAGATGGTATACACACAACAGTTGTGTGTCCGTTCTTTATCAACACAGGAATGTTCGAGGGTGCAAAAACCAGGTAGATTTCAGTTGTTCTGATTCAAATTGTAATTTGAATTGATTTAGCATTTGTTTTCTCCATTGTATCAAATATTTTGTTTTCGGAAACATCAAGATTTACTTGATTTATGTCAAATTGCTATATATGGTTAAAAAAGACACTAATATGATAATTAATTACTTTCAATATTCTGTTTTACAATTCTCAGTTCATACTTTTTCAAATTAGTTCCCAAAGCTTACTACTGCTGATATGATATTAACTTGTAGTTTTTTGTCCCTTCTTTAAGGTCATTCAGTTTTCCGGGGTTTATGGTTTTCAACATTTTCTTAGACTTCCGGCTGAAGTCGATCCGACACGTGTTGTCAGATTTAAAAACAAGAAATCTGAAATAGATTATTAATAATTGAAACTTTTAGATAATGAAAGAGAGGATATAAATTTAATTGAAGCATTATTCATAGTCTTGCTTAAATAATGGCAAGGACTTTGTGTATGTGTATCATTGGAAAAAAATCCACTATTATATGATAGTTTATATTTGTCTGCTTACTTTCGTAAACGCCATTTTTATTTTAGATTTCCTCTAGTCTTGCCTGTACTGGAGCAAGAGTATGTAGCCAAGAAGATTGTAGAGGCTGTATTATGTAATCAAACAATATTATGTATACCAAAAATACTCTATATTTTCTACGCAATCAAAGGGTATGTATCTATAATTAAAATGAATATTAGAAAACCTTAGATAGTAGCAGCAAACGAAGTAAGGTACTTAAGGTTTGCAGTTAATTTAGTCATTTTTGACTTCTTGCTCGTTGATTTGATGTAAATATTCACTTATTAAAGATATACTATGCTCATTTTTGAGTAGATTATTTTAATCACAGTCTAAGGAATTCTTACTGAATATGTCTAGTTTTAATCAAATAATGAATAAACTATGTATTGGAAGTGTTTTTAATGACAGTTTTTTAAATGACACTTTATATTCACATTGTGACCAAATTTTAAACATAACATGCTAGTATCTACTTTGTGTAAAGTCAAAACATGTTTATTTTTAATAAACAATGATGAGACTGTGTAGCCATCATCAATATTTTCTAATATCAAATTTGAGCATTACATATCTTTAATCTTGTATCAGATTCAATACTAGTAGTTAGGTATATACGAGTAATGCAGAATATTAATAGTAGGTACTTTGTACACAAAACACTTATTAGTATAAGATAATCTTGTTTTGCTCGCGAATGATGTTTAAAATGTAAGAAATGTAAGGAAATATGTTAAACAAGATCAGTAAGGAAAGGCGGCGTTCAATGAAAGCAAACCTTTTTAAAATGTTAGTAGAAATTTGCACAAACTCCAATACTTTGATATTATAGATACCAATGCAGTCTGATAAAAAATATTTTAGTGACATACATTTATTGAAAAAGTAATATTTTTAATCAGATATTTTGTCAATGACAAGAAGATACCTTAAAGTATGTTTTATCATTGCAGATTAATTCCTCACGAACCTGGATTTGTGGTTAGTAAATATTTAGGTGCTCATAACCTGATGGATACTTTTGTTGGAAGACAGAAAAGAGAATAATCATTGGACTAAATTAGTGTTTCAAGGAGCGGCTTAAAATCATATATTACAGTATGCTGGGATATACCTACAATATTGCACGGTCGTTTTTTATATTTAAGGGAGCTATATTGCTTGCTTTATTAAAATGTTAAATCACGAAATAAAATATGTGAAACAATGATTTTTTTGTTGTCTTTGCTTTGACGATTTTAGTCTAATGCAGCTACAATAATGTGGTATATGTTATGTGAATACCATCCATGTCACCTAAATGAAAATGAAATGTATATGATAATACAGGTAAATGATTGGCGACGCCGATGAACGGCATGGACTCTTATTGACTGCCTTTTTTGTGGCACATGGTAGGAGCTGTTATAATATACATGAAATACTCGCATATATACAGAATGATGTCATTCTTGGTCTGATAAAACAGTAGTTGATAATCATATAAAAATTTACGCATTAATATGAAGTTTAGAGAATATGGGCCTTTTGAATTAGTCTGTATGAATAAAAAAAAACTGGATGCTGGTTGCAGAAAGGCAGTAATGGTACTTCGTGTTTCTTAAATTTATATCCATTTTAAATTTTTCTTGTGTATCCTGCGCTGAAGATTATTTAGGTCCGGTTAAATCTTATCTTATTACAAGGCTTACAAGTATCTTTGCGTATTTCAGTGAAATATTTCAACGGATACTTGTTTAATTCACCGTACTGGTTGCATTAGATTTCGAGAAAAGCAAAAACCAAATGATCAGGGAGGTGAACCGTCATTACTTTTTTATATAAAGTGCACTGCGAAACGAAACAATCTTTATATATCACCGATTAGGATCCGTTTTTCATGAATACCTTTTAAAATGCAAAGACCCCTACACAAAAGCACTTTCTTCGGCTGTTACGTAATGTATATAAAAGGTTTTCTTATTTTCTACAATTTTTCCTATAAATGTCGGTGAAATGTTTTGGACACCGTGCACGAATAAATCAAATGAGTCTGTTGGGCAAATATTATGGAAAGCCAGAGAGACTTTACACAAAGCGGCGCCGTTTGCAATCGAGGAAAGAGTTTTTTTTTCTATTCGCGCGGGGGGGGGGGGGGTATGCACTTTATTTGCAAATGATAAAGGTATGCTTCAAATAAATTCTGTTGTAGAGTAAACTAATTAAAGAACTGAAATAAAATAATAATGGGAAATGTGATTTTTTCACTACGCTGTATCAGTGGCACAAGACAAGGGGATGTAACTAGTACGATACTATTTAATTTATATGTTGCTGAGTTATCTTGCTTTCTACGAACATTCTCTGTGTTGATGTAAATTTCATGCATTTAATTATATAATTTGTAATTTTGTTTTTGTTACCATGATTTATATTCCTTGTTACGTATATTGTATAGATCTGTGTACACCAAAATAAGATTTTAAAAAATAAACATGAATTATAATTAAAAGGAATTGTAGGCCATGGTAAACGGGTTGAGCCGTTGCTGGGTAATTTCTGTATTTTGTTGTTGTAGAAATATTATCAATTATTGATAATAACAAACAGATAAATTACTTGTCTAGGAAATATCGGGAAATGATGGGAATAAATCGAAGGTCAAGAAGGATTAACGAAGGTATCTTATTTAGCAATGCATCAAAGCATCAAAGATAACACATTAATGCAAAATCTTATTTTCAACAAAGCCTTCAATAAACATATCATATGATTCCCTGTTTCAGTGACGTCCCAATTTCAGTGACCTTTTTATAAAATGCTGCCACTTTGAAAAGCAATGTTTTAAAGTATTTTTCCCAGTAGCACTGTTTATGTTAACTTATTTCCTTGATGCAACCTTGAAAAAATGGTCAGAAATACAAAATTGTGTATCTGGTATACTATTTTTCATGGAAATTTATCTTTTTAAGCATTTTCTTATTACTTTTTATCTACATAACAGTTCACATTTTTTAACAAGAGCTAGAAAGTAACTTTTGATGAATATGTTCAAAGTTTAAATTAGTCTCCTTTAATATTCTAATCATTTTGGACAAAATACTCTTAGGGTCACTGAAACTGGTCCTTCAACGATAAATATAGACATATTTACAAGCAATTATTAAGATTAAAACACTCAGTACATCTTATCCAACAAAGAAAACAGTCATAACATTATATATAGTATAATTACCGGTAAGTATATTGTCTACTGTATTATTCATCTTTTGAAAATAATAAATGTGATTTAAACTTTTGTAGTTTTTCTTATTCTAGAAAATACATCGGCCTTAAGTAGATTTTTTCTTTTGTTATAAAGGAAATGTGTCCATCTTAGACAAAAATATTTGTCATTTAGGCCTTAATTAACTGTTATCTGCATTGAGAGAGAGAGAGGGAAGGGATATATTTAGTAGTATTGTTCCTATTGAGGGGTTTTAGAGTTGTCAGACCTGTTAAAAAAATTTGGTATTGTTCAATCTTAATATTCGGCATTTTCTGATGTTTTCGTATTACGCATGTTTACAGTAAAAATACAATACGCAAACTTTCTCTAATTGCGAAGGAAATATGATATGAAATAACGTTTGACTCTAGATCAACACGGTTGATATGCCTGTGACGTTTTCAACTATATTTTCCAATGCGTTACTGTCAATTTTGAAAGATTCAGATTACATACGTGTTTGGAGGTCTACTTTCGGTTTTGAAAATTGACCTTTGACCCGACCGAAGTCCAAACTTTCAATCTCATTAGATTTTTATTTATAAAGAAACAAAGTCAAAGACTGAAAGATGGCGGAAAGCATTGTTGATATCATAAAGGGTGTTCTCAAATGTTTAGGACTCGTAGTTTATTACTGGCTCATAGCCATTGTAAAGGCAATTGTACCAACCAGCTGGCAGGCAAAAGATATATCCGGGGAGACTGTTCTCATCACAGGAGCAGGTATTGAAATGAGGATTGTTTCACCCTCCAGATTCTTCCTCCCAAACTTAATGTTACTGATTTATTTTGTCGAAACATTGGAAGGGTTTATAAGGCCGGCGGGTTTGAGTCTGGGTAACACCCTTGGGATTTTTCAGAGACAGTCACACTTTCATGCAGTGTTTCCCACCTAACTAAAGGTGTACTGGTAAGAAATCCAGGTAATTCTTGCGTGTATCAATGCTATACACTGGGCATGTAAAAGAACCAATGGGTCTATTCAATAAGAGCTAGGGACTGGTTCCCTGATTCCCTTGTATCTCATAGCTGTCCATATCTCCTACCCAGCGAGGGGTCTGACATTAATAGAAGATAGATAGATAGAAGACTTAGCCAGTCTAAATTGAATTTGGATGCACCCCATTGAAGATTCGACTCTAAAATGACATTTCACACTAGATTAGTGACAATTTGCCCCATTTAAAAATAATCATTAAAAAACATACAATACAGTAAACATACAAGTAAGTTATTTAAATTAGGAAATGATAAGATTAAAAGTTGTAACCCTTGATTATATACATGTAATTCACCTGTTCCTTGTATTTCCCGGAACAACCAATATCCAATCAGTTAAGTTGTTTATAGCCAATAATAAATGGAAGGGGAAATTTATGCTTTAAATTTATGTTAGATATTAATGCATCTATCAACATTTATTCATTTTAAGATTGGTACATTTTCAACATATCTTGATCTTTCTTAGAAAAACCAATAAAAACGATATGACCCACTTGGGTCACACCCAGGAATATTTTAACCTAAATTCAAACAGCAGGGTAATCACCACTAAAGAATTTGTTCAAGATATTTCATGGCTACTAAAAATTGTAGAAAATTTTACAACAGTCTATTTAACAATTTTCAACATTTTTTTCAAGATTTGACAAAACTTACAGTCACAATTTTTTAATGTTATAACATATGTAAAGTACAATGCATTGGTATGACTACTATTTATGTGTATAAATAGGGCAGTTTAAGGTGTCACTTCTTAGTATGCTATTTGGGGTGCAAAATGATAAATGCATCCAATCATTACAGCCATTTACCTTCCCCACTTTAACATATTACCAAATATGGATACTTGTCTAGATCCGCCAGATGGTATCGCTTACAAAAGATTTATTTTACAATCATCACTTGAAGATTAATATTTAGGACCCCTATGTAAAGTCTGATGAATATTTAGTGGTACATGATATAAATAAATGTTTTAAATGCTCCTAAGACTGAGGTAAATGGTTAAACTCTGTAGCCAATACTTTATAAAAAAAAAATAACTTGCTTGGAAAATTTTTTATCACTATTTTAAACCTGTGACTGTTTTGATATAGTTAAAGTTGGACAATTTATATTGTGTCACTTAAATCTAACATTTTCCTATTGTTTTTCTGATAACATCTGACAATTAATCCAGTATGGCATTACTGCAAGTGTTGAAGTAATGTATTTTAAACTGGAATTTACATTTTGGGATCCAAAAATAATGTGTATAATATAACATAATTGAAATCATTAACAGTGGAACACCTCAGTTTTCAGTAAATGTAATTAAAGTCTGTGGAAGTGTAAAGAAAGTTGTCATCATTGACAGAAATAAAATGGTTATTGTCATTCAATAATGTTTCAACTGATTTTAAAGGTTAGTTTAGTATAGAAATTAAAAAAAAATACCCATGTAAATAATGACAAAGGGAGGTAAGTCATGATAATATGTCTCAAACTCCTCACAGTGATTACCTCCCTTGGCAGAATTGTAATCACTGGCTTGACAGACATCATATGATGATGAAAGTAACATGATGTAACATTGGAATTCAACTGTGACATAGAAAATCTAACGTCATTCTTCTCTTTCTGTTTATTTTTAACTTTTCTTACCTAAGTCCGTTACATTTTATCAAAAAATTATCAAAAGTATACAAAATAATGAAAAATAAATTAAAAGCTAAAAAATATAACATATAAAAATATTGATATTGAAATGTTTGTGATGGCAGAGATCACTGTATTGATAAGGGGAGATCACTGCGTAGGAGATTGCAATTTTGTTAATCCTTTCGACACAGCACATTTAACTTTTTTTCCCACAACATATTTACAGGCAGTGGTATTGGACGACTGATGGCATTAAAGTTTGCTAGGTTGAAATGTCGCCTTGTATTGTGGGATGTTAACCAGACGGGCAATGAGGAAACATTAGCAATGTGTAAAGAGTATGGTGTCACTGTTAAAGCGTACAAGATAGATCTGTGTGACAAAGATGATGTATATCATGTTGCTAACAGGGTATGAGTTTTTATGTACTTTTCAAGGAGGTAACTTGTTACTGTTCTTTTATACTGAATATAAAGCAAATATCTGTCAATACTGCTGACGGCAGCATAACTGTTAAATTGGTTTAGTTTTTTTCCTTACTTACTAGATGTTTTCATCTCAGTGCAAGTTGCCAGAATGTAATACATAATAGTAATTTTGTTGAGTATGTTAAAATAATCCCATCAGTAATGTATAAATGTACCATATATCATAATCCATTGATTCTGTAAATTCTTCCATTTAAATACTGCAACTTGTATTTTCGGCATCGAGTTTACTTTTTTCATAACACCAAGAATTAAGGCTAATATATATGTATAGCTTTTGTTAAAAAATTAAAGGAGAGGACTACCATGAGCTATTGTAGCTCTCGGTTCAATTTCTTCCTGCTTTAAATTTTAAATTATTAAAATGTATATATACCTTGAATAAAAATATGTGTATGAGTAAATACTGAAAGCTTTTTTGACTACTTTTGATTAGTTTTATACAGTATTTAATACATTAATACATATATCAACATATTTTCAATAACTGACAAAGTTTCATTTTTTTTAGGTGAAAGAAGAGGTTGGTCAGGTTGATATACTTGTAAACAATGCTGGTATAGTGACAGGGAAAAAATTCTTGGAATGTTCAGATATGATGATACAGAAAACTATGGAAGTAAACATAATGGCTCATTTCTGGGTAGGTTTGATTGCTCTTGCTATTATCAGTTAATGAGTTTTTTCTTCTCTATTTGCAAAAATACCATATAATTTTCCCCCAAAAATTAAGTGCGGGGCTGCTTCAGCAACCTATGGAAAAAAAAACGCTTAAGACCTATATTTTATGTTGTTTTATTTTTCTTTACATGGGGAATCATTGATTCCAATACTATAAATGTATTTAGGATTGACGTCACAACTGTTGTAAGTGTGCCTTCATTTCATATTAGTTACTGCAGTTTTGCAGTCAACCCTGAGTATTGTATTGATTACAGCCTAAGCCTGTGCTTATCATTTTATATAAAACGTTTATATATATTTATAATACATGTATATTATTATATATTACAAACCTGCCGTGCATATAATTTTACATGATGTAGTTTGTGTTATACAAACATAGTGTAAAGACGCACTCAAAGTTAGCGTAACACTATACAGGTGTGTCAATGAAAAATGATTCTTTTGCACCTTAAACTGTTGTCATAATATTGGGTATGTGATAAATAGAATATTATATTCCTGTAGGTTCATTACTGAATTTATTGGACTCGTTGAGTAAACTAAAATTTTATTAAACTTGTTCAATAAAGTCAGTATTGAACCTACACTCATTCAATATCCACTATATATTTCATCGAAAACAAGCTGTATGATATGATTAAATGAGCCGCGCGTCACAACAAAACCAACATAATGGGTTTGCGACCAGCATGGATCCAGTCCAGCCTGCACATCCGCGCAGTCTGATCAGGATCCATGTTGTACGCTTACAAACTCTATAACAAGTAGAGAAACTGATAGCGAACAGCATGGATCCTGATCAGACTGCGCGGATGCGCAGGCTGGTCTGGATCCATGCTGGTCGCAAACCCATTATGTTGGTTTTGTCATGAGGCGGCTCAAATGTTATTCAGACAGTGAAGTCTTTCCTACCTGACATGATGAGTAGGAATCACGGCCATATAGTAAACATCGCAAGCTCTGCTGGACTCGTTGGAGTTACTGGCCTTGCTGACTACTGTGCCAGTAAATTTGCTGCTGTCGGTTTTGATGAATCGCTGAGGTTTGAACTTGAGGCGCAGGGTAAAGATGGTATATATACAACAGTAGTTTGTCCGTTCTTTATCAACACAGGAATGTTTGAAGGTGCCAAAACAAGGTAACTTTTCTTGTTTGTTACAGATTTGATAAAAGTAGGATAAATAAAGACTGCTTTGGTACTTTAGTGAGAATAGTCCATTAACATGGGGCCAGTTTGCTAAGGCCTTTAGGCAGCCACTTTTGGAGGATCAGATTTTTTAAAAATTTAATCAGTCATGAATTATTTGCTTGTATAATTCCTTTAAGTCACCTGAAAAAAAATGGTTTATATGTTTTATTGCGAGCTGGATTAATCATAAATTCCGTCCAGCACATGGCTTTTCGTACGGTACTAGATTTATTTCAGTTATTAAATTATTGTTATAACTAAGTTTGTTTTTTTTTTTATCTTTTTCTTTGAAGTATAAGTGAATTATAGACATGTGCAATCACAAGATTAAAATGACATTAATTTATTTATTAAGATCAAAGATACAATGAACAATTCATCTTTACTTATAATATAAATTTGCTGCTAATTGACATGTCTTCAGAACAAAAATATAAATTAGCAATTATTAAATCTCTCGTGTAGGTTTCCATTTCTGTTACCGATCGTAGAGCCAGAGTATGCAGCCGGTAAGATTGTGGACGCTGTATTGTGTAACCAGTCCATGCTTCTCATACCTAGAATATTATACTGCTTTTTTGCTTTGAAAGGGTAGGTAATTCTTATTTGTCTTTGTTGTTTCATATTTATGTAGTTACCTCCCTTACTAATTAGGGCCAGATTGGTTATTTTTTGATCTGTTTTGCCTAATTACTTTGTATTTGCCTGATGATATGAAATCATTTTAAGCTCTACTATTTGAAGAATAGGGAGAGCTGTTTAACTCACCCAGGCATCTACGTCATACTTTGGTTAAGTTTTTCGGTGCAAGTTGATATCTCAAAAACTTTTGAAGGGAATAAGTTGAAATTTCACACACTTATTCGAGAGCATGATAGGAAGTTACTGTTTAAGGCAACACAACTCTTACTTAGATTTTGACAGAATTATGCCCCTTTTTGAACTTAGAAAATTCTATTTTATCCAGTATTGTTTTACTATCAATCCCTGAGATTGTTGAGCAAGCTGTTTGTATGACAGCCTTTGTTAAAAAAAAACGTGTTTGGGGTTTGCTCTACAGTTATGGAAGGAAAAAAATACATCATTTCTCCTTGCTATTTCCTTATATTTAATTAATACAAATGATAGTTTCTGAATTCCTTAGTAAACGCTTTTTGAGAAATCAGCAGCAAAATAAGATGTCGAACAACTTGCTACAATAATTGTACTTGTACAAATACCTTACTTTCTCTGCTGTATCTTGAGGTATAACGTATTTTTTCCACTTTTGTATTTGGAAATGTACCATGATTTTTAGCTCACCTGTCACAAAGTGACAGGGTGAGCTTTTGTGATCGCTTTTCGTCCGGCGTCCGTCCGTCCGTCGTCCGTCCGTCGTCTGTCCGTAAACTTTTGCTTTAAATGACATCTCCTCATAAACCACTGAGCCAATTTCATCCAAACTTCACAGGAATGATCCTTTGGTGGTCACCTTTAAAAATTGTTCAAAGAATTTAATTCCATGCAGAACTCTGGTTGCCATGGCAACCGAAAGAAAAATCTTTAAATATCTTCTTTTAAACAACCCTAAGAGCTAGAGCTTAGATATTTGGCATGAAACATCTTCTAGTGAGTGTCTACCAAGTTTGTTCAAATAAAAGCCCTGGGGTCAAAATTGGCCCCGCCCCAGGGGGTCATTGATTTTCCCTAGATGCATATAGTAAAAACTTAAAAGATCTTCTTTTAAAGAACCCAAAGAGCTAGAGCTAAGATATTTGGCATGAAACATCTTCTAGTGAAAGTGTCTACCAAGTTTTGTTCAAATAAAAGCCCTGGGGTCAAAATTGGCCCCGCCCCAGGGGGTCATTGATTTTCCCTATATGCATATAGTAAAAACTTAAAAATTCCTCTTTAAAAGAACCGTAAGAGCTAGAGCTTAGATATTTGGCATGAAACATTTTCTAGTGAATGTCTACCAAGTTTGTTCAAATAAAAGCCCTGGGGTCAAAATTGGCCCCGCCCCAGGGGGTCATTGATTTTCCCTATATGCATATAGTAAAAACTTAAAAAGTCTTCTTTTAAAGAACCCAAAGAGCTAGAGCTAAGATATTAAGCATGAAACATCTTTAAGTAAATATCTACAAAGTTTGTTCAAATAAAAGCCCGTGGGTCAAAACTGGCCCTGCCCCAGGGGTGTCATTGTTTTTAACTATATGTGTATAGTAAAAACTTTAAAAATCTTCTTTTAAAAAACCCAATGAGCTAGAACTTAGATGTTTAACATGAAACATCTTCTTATGGGTGTCTACCAAGTCTGTTCAAATAAACAAATAAAAGCCCTTGGGTAAAAATTGGCCTGGGGGTGGGGGGGGCCTATATACAGGTGAGCGACCTCAGGGCCATCATGGCCCTCTTGTTAAAATCAAGGGTTTTGATATCAGAAAGCTAAAATTAGCTAGTCAGTAGGGCTGGGTCTTGTCAGACTACAGGGAGATTCTGGCACTGGTCTGTGATTGTCATTTAAGTTAACCCATAATAAGCAAATTTCTTTAATGGACATGTCCAGTTTCGATTTTGAAAACCGTCCATTATCATTTTAGGGGTTATAGAGCTTAAACTTTGAGTTGGTTTGCCAACAGGACAGGGCCTGGTGAGACAGAATAGATGTACAGGCTAGCCAGGCCCTATACTGGTTACAAAGACTAGTCACTTTAAATTGCATTAGGTTAAAGGAACTCCACTGAGGTCAAAAAAAGGCTGATAAACAAACATTTGAAATTCTTACATAGATCAAGTGAAGCACTTAAAATGAAAGATCTGCAAAGGATTATAAAGAAATTTACTCCTAATTAAATTGAATATCAATTTTTTGGTCTGTTTCTTAGCTCGATTATAGCGAAACTGTTTTGATTTTTGGGTTATTTTGCACAACACAAATGATTATTCTGGAACAAGGAGGTGGGGGAATGATCTGAAAATATTCTTACAAAATATTGGTACAGACCTACATTAAATGATATACAAATATTTGAAAAATATTTTCAGTCCTGTCATGTAAAAAAAAAATCAGTGGAGTCCCTTTAAGGCTGAAATGTTTTTATATGTTATTCAAAGTAGGTTCTATTTATACATTACAGGTTTCTGCCGACATCATGTCTACATGTTATCAGTAAGCACTTGTGTATTAACAACTGTATGGATGATTTTAAGGGCCGACAACCTAAACAAGATTAAAAAAGGAAAGGATAACAAAAGGGCCATGACAAGCTTTGAAATTGTGAAAACAAAAATATTTTTCTGTATATGTCTATTATAGTCACAGCTTATTGTTTGACATATACTGTAACCATCTTTTTATGTATTTCTCTTCTTTTTTAGCTCACCTGTCACAAAGTGACATGGTGAGCTTTTGTGATCACTTTTCTTCCGGCGTCCGTCCTTCCAGGGTTCGTAAACTTTTACTTTAAATGACATCTCCTCATAAACCGCTAAGCCAATTTCATCCAAACTTCACAGGAATGGTCCTTTGGTGGTCACCTTTAAAAATTGTTCAAAGAATTAATTCCATGCAGAACTCTGGTTGCCATGGCAACCGAAAGAAAAAACTTAAAGTATCTTCTTTTGAAAAACCCAGAGGTAGAGCTTAGATATTTGGCATGAAACATCTTCTATTGAGTGTCTATCAAGTTTGTTCAAATAAAAGCCCTGGAGTCAAAATTGGCCCCACCCAATGGTGTCATTGCTTTAAGTAAAAACTTAAAAAGTCTTCTTTTAAAAAACCAAAAGAGCTAGAGCTAAAATATTTGGCATGAAACATTGTCTGATGAGTATCTACCAAGTTTGTTCAAATAAAATCCCTGGGGTCAAAATTGGTCCTGCCCCGGGGGTCATTGATTTTTCTTATATGTATATAGTATAAACTTAAAAAATCTTCTTTTAAGTAACGGAAAGAGCTAAAGCTTAAATATTTGACATGAAACATCTTCTGGTGAGTGTCTACCAAGTTTGTTCAAATAAAATCCCTGGGATCAAAATTGACCCCGCCCCGGGGGTACTGTTTTTCCTTATATGTCTAGTAAAAACTTAAAAAATCTTCTTTTAAATAACCCATAGAGCTAGAGCTTAGATATTAAGCATGAAACATCTTCTAGTGAGTGTCTACCAAATTTGTTCAAATAAAAGCCCCAGGGATAAATTTGGCCTGCTTCAGGGGTCTGATTTTCCTTATATGTCTATATAGTAAAAGCTTAAAAAATCTTTTTTTAAAAACCCCAAAGAGCTAGAGCTTAGATATTGATCATGAAACATCTTCTAATAAGTGTTAAAAAAGCCCCTGGGTTAAATTAGTCCCGCCCCAAGGGCCTATATACAGGTGAGCGATTTCAGGAACATCATGGCCCTCTTGTTTTGTAAAATGTTTATTTCTCAACTTGTAAATAAAACAAAATGTAATTGTTAAAGCAGCATTGCTCAGGATTCATGCCTATTTTCATGAAAATATTGAAAATGTATTAAAAAGTATAATACTATTAAGTGAACTCAGAAAATAATTCACACATTGCAAATGGCATTTAAATTTATGGGGGCCAGGATATGCAAAAGTATTCTTTTTTCTGTAAATCCTGCAGTAGTAATAATCATTATTAATCATTAATTAATTGCATATAACATGTAAATTATTTCTTTAATTGTGAATATTTTTACTTTTCTTAAAATCTTAGTATATTTTTCTCAAGGTTGATTTTCTTGAAATATTTGACTCAATTGGAGGTGTGCAGCTTTAACTTGTGTTGTAGGGTAAATTTGACATGTTCATTAACATTTTGTATCTATATTTACATTAATTCATATACATTGACCAACTTAGATTTTTTTTTCTAAACTTTGATTCCATACTTTATTTTATCACTTACCAGTGCGGCCTGCACCTTTAACGACTCCGTAAATGTGGTATTGCACGGTCTTGCATATATTTTAATGTGACATCATTTGCTTTATACAAACATAGTGTAAAGACGCACTAGGTGCATCAATGAATAATTATTCTTTTTACTTTAAACAGTCTTAATTTTGGGTATGTGATAATTAGAATATTATATTTGTGTAGGTTCATTACTGAATTTATTGAACTAGAGGCTTGCATAATATGATTTGATTTATCTCGTTCAATAAATTTAGTATTGAAGTTACACTCATTCAATATCCTCTTTTTAATCAAGGACATTATTGGGGGATTTATTTAGAGTAAATATTCTAAATATTCTGTCTTTTAAGACTAAAATGAAATAACTAGTCACAGAAACATAAAGTCCCTTTCTTTGAAATTCACTGTCATTATAGTCTGTCATCTGGTTCATCTAATATTGTTATTCATTTATATGTACGATATTAAAGGTAAGTGGACATTGATTGTTCATGATAACAATGTTAATAATTGTGCTCAATTAAGAGTATTGCTTGAATGATTTTTATATTATAATAATACAACAAGATATTTGTTCAGATATTATCTTAGATAAAAGATAACATTTTGAAGTCCTAGATATTACTTACTTTTAAGACTTACCAAACTTCTGTTGGTTTTATTCTGGTCATATTTTTCTTTATTTTTATCCACCCTGTATATCCATTAATTCAAGAATGGTAAAATTCACCGAGAAATATGCAAAATAATGTGAAATCTGTGCAAATCTATGAATGAAATAATTATTGCTGTAAGTAAATGAAACCATATATTTTAGAGAAAGTAAACTGAATTGAAAGAAATGAATAAGAAAATATAGCTGTTTTGACTTCATATTTCAACCCCTTTTACAAATTTTATTAGGAAAGTGTTTACATTTCATGATCATTCATTTACAAGTCTTCCTGGCCAATAATTTCAACAATATATATATTCACGTTTAGGCATTACAGTTGTCAACCCCCGGTGCATTAATTTCTCATTTATATCAATCCAAATCCCAATTAATGTATGTTAACATCATTTAATATGTGTTTATGTTAGTTATTCCATGACTTACAAACATGTTTCTCTATTGGATATTACTGGATGGATTAATTGAATTTAATTTCCTATATTTCCATATACATGTAGATATCAGTCATGAAATATGTAATAAGTTGTTAGATTATATAACCTTATCCTACTGTGGATATCAAGCGAGCGATGTTGGGCCATGTAAGGCCTCTGTTTTTTTGTTTTTTTTAAATTGGTTAATCTTTTATTTTATTTCTTTTTAAAAAAGTTAAAATCATTTAAATTTAAAAAAATGATACCC